CAACAGAAAATTCAAATTGAAAACTGCTTTGTTAAGTAAATGGTAATTTATGACGTTTCGAAACTAGATTAGGTCCATCGTCAGGTTTTCTAAAAATACAAACTTGATTCCGGAATCAATATTAGTAAAAAGAACACATTTTATAAAACAAATACATAACCTAAAATCGGAGTAGAAATCCTTGTAGAAATATGAAAGACCTACCTAGAATAAATCGTGCATCCTGAAGAACTCTCTAAAAAATTGCATGCAATGCAACTTTTGGTGCATTTTTTTTACAAAATCTCTCATAACTTTTCAACCGGTGGTCCAATTTAAATGAAACATTCGACAAATTTGTACAGAATTAAATAATTTATAATATTGTCTATTATATCAAAGCCATACAGCAACTCGGTATACTTTAAAAAGGATCCTCTGAGCCGTGCCTTAGCCTACATCAAAATTTTACCAGTAGTAATATACAAATTTAAAAAAATCAAATTAATATGTTAGTAAATGAATTTTTAATCGTTTCATAAAAATCCTCCAAACATTACATCCCAAATAAATATTTTATTAATAAATTGCATATTCGATATTTATACGAAACAAATATAAATATAAACCAGGTTTCCCGATTTAATATCTTTTTGGTACAAAAAATACTTGACTAAATTTTTTACTATTTATTCTTTCAAAAGCGAAATATATTTATAAACTTCAGTTATTTTGCAAAAAAAAAAACAAACACTTCCATGATGATATATAATAATTTTTGGTTTCAACAATGTACAGATTTGTTCCATTCACACGAAAAAAAAAATGTTTCATTTCTTGTCGAGTGGAACAAATCTATGTATTAACACATATCAATTTTATTTTTGTGAACGTATCTATTTTTTTAGAAAAAAATCCTGTATTCCTCGATTTAAAAAAAATGTTAGTGCTTTCAAAGATTCAGTATAACTGAAGTTTATGAAACACACAAAGTCGTAGATGTGAAATGTCATAAATGTATATTTGCTGTTTTTGTACATTTTTTATAAACATGTGCATGAATATATAAAAGTTTATATATAAATAACAGTTCACAATAAAACATAAAACTTGAAAAAAAAAATTATACAACGGGTCCAAGCAAACCACCAAAATTTTTATTCCCTCGACATCGATTTTTTTTTAAGACCATGAACATGTTTTTAAAAATCCAACACACTAAACAATCAATAAAAAAAAACAATATGCCTTTATTTTTGTGAAAACAGATTTTTACTGAAAGGAGTATTTGTATTTATTAAGGTCTAAAAAATAAGAGAATAGAAAATGTTGATGTATGCTTTAATATATATATATTATATATATGAAATGGGAATTAGTGCATTTATATTATTGAGAAAAAAGCCACACACACATACACAGTCATGAAAAAGAAGAACATTAATCGAATATCGATCGTTACCCAAACAAAAGTATAAAATATGTGTTCATTATGTGTACAGAAATACAAAAAAAGTGGAGAATTGTTTAATATTAACACACTGGTATGCATTTTTGCACTATTTATTCAAACATTGTGTTTGAGACGTTTCGAGAATGTGGTTCGTGCCATCAACGTTGCGAAAGAAACCTATTTTTGTACTTAGAGCTAATAGACTAGTGTTTAACTTTTGCGCTTGAGTAAACATTTTTGTGAAAGAACTTAAATATTTAAATATTGCAAAAAAGAGTGCATATTATATATATGTATTATATGTATGTATGTTAGTGTGGTCCTTAATATGGATTTTTTCGTATTTATTTGCTCCCAAGCGCTCAAATGCTTCCCAATAAATAAAAAAAATGTCTAAAAGTTTCTGCTCTTAATATTAACATTTAGATAGTCCGCACTTCTATTATAAGTTTCATATATTCATTATTAAGAAATTTCTTTCGCCATCTGTGATAGCATTTGTGAACTGAAATATTGTGACATTTAAAAATATTTATAAATCACTTAACCTCTTATTAAATCCATGTAAGCTGTTAAACGAATTATTTATTCTGAATTAATTTTGCAGCAAAATATATAATCGGTGATTTTGACACTCAAATTGTCGGTAAAAAATTGCCATTAAAATTACAAGAAACTTTTAATTGAATCGCGGACTATCTAAATGTTGATATTAAGAGCTAAAACTTTTAGAGAATTTATTTGCATTAATTTGGAAGCATTTGAGCCCTTGGGAGCAAAGAAATTCGAAAATGCCCATATTAAGGACCACTTTAATATATATATATATATAAAATATATATATATATATATATATATATATATATATATATATATATAATATGTTAGTTAAGCAAAAAACTCCTCAACAGACATCCATCCAGATAATAAAATTAAAAAAAATGTCTCTTAAAATAATTTCAATACTTCCAACGTTTCGAGTCCCAATTTGACTCTTCCCTCGAGGAACAAAACTACGAAAATAGAGAACTCTAACATTTTTAACTCTAGAGTTTTTGCTTATTTCATAATATTATTGTTGCTCATTTCATAATATTTATTATATAATATACTGTGTTATATAATACAGTATATTTATAATTTACATATTTTTCTTGTCTTTTTTGGTAGTTTTGTTCCACTGAAGAAGAGTCGAATTGGGACTCGAATCGTATAGATTCATTTGAATCAAATTTTAGATTTCTTTCTATTCAGAGTCAATAGATGGGGCTAGTATATAACTTTTTTCTCTGAGGAAAGGTCAAATTAAGACTCGAAACGTCCATCAGAATCATATTTTAATTTTCTTTTTATTCAGAGAAAATAGATGAGAAAATAGTCTTCTTTCTCTGAGTAATTTTATATTTTATGAATAGTGCAAATGAAGTGCGCGGTGTGTTAATATTTCTAGGTTTATGTATATATATATATATATATATATACTCGTATATATATATATATATATATATATATATATATGTTGGCTTTTTATTAAAGAAAAGTTCTGTACACAAAATTATTAATGCAGTTGGAGTGTGATTTGTGTTCAGAAAGATATAAGATCAAAATCTAAGTAAAAGAGATAATATATTGCTTGTGATGTCTACACATACTTTAAATTAAATTTTTTGAAAAATATTGACTCATTTTACAGACAATCTGTTATTACTTGTGTGCTAAAAGCCTCAATTTTTCTTAAAAAAATATTTTGTGGAGACTAAACATTTTATTTTTCTAGGCTGATTAAATAAAACAAACGAGTCAGACAATATTAATTTGTATTTTGTAAGGGTGAATTGTAATATCTAAAGAAATATTTTTACTATCAGGTACTGATGAAGGAAACATTCTTTATTTCCGAAACTTAAACAAAATGTGTTTAGATATTATTTTTGAAAAATACGGAGGCTTTTTTAGTTCAGAAAAGTATAATCATAACATCAATATTTTTATGATTCGTTGAACTTAAAAAAATTAAAGAACAATTTATTTATACGTTTCGACACTTAATATGTGTCATCATTCAGCCTTCCATATTTGCTAAATGAACAGAAAAAGAAATATTTAAAAACAAAATTCAAATATGCATATTTATTTTATTGCATATTTTGTAATAATTTTATAGCTATTCAATGATGACACGTATTGTGGTCGAAACGTATAAATGAAGAATTGATAATATGTATCTCATTTTTTTAATATTAATTCTGAATATTTATTTCAAATAAAAATAAATGTTTTTTTTAAATTAATATTTATTTTTAAGTCAAGGATATTTAAAAAATTTGGTGTTGGAAGGTATTTTGTTCCGAAACGTTGACAATAGCACGTACTTGCTGTATGTATATATGTATATGTATATATATATATAT